TTGCTGCTCTCCAGTAGTGCTCTTAGTGATCCTCTGTCTACCATCCTGTACTTTCCAATTTTCTGCTACTGCTAGTAATAGTCTGGAAATACGTGTCACTGTTCCTTCATTGGCCTACTGTTGCACGGCCAGTTTCCATGTCTTGGCTGTTGTGAACTGTGCTGCAGTAAACATGTAGTAATCCTTACTGATTTCCCCCCATTGGGCATACGCAGCCAGCGCTGACATCGCTGGACCACGTAGAAGTTCGTTTCTGCCAGGCAAGGTGGTGCACGCCTTTAGTGCCAGCTTTCGGGAGAGGCAGGCACAGGCATCGCTGTGAGTTTGAGGCCAGCCTGTCTAGGTAGCCCAGGCCAGACAGGGCTATACGGTTCGAACCTTTCTCAAAAAACTGAAAACTGAACAACAACAAAATCACACAAAATGAAGTTCATTTCTAGTTGGATTCTGTTGTTGCTTGCTGGAGTTTGGACCCAGGCCCTCCCCAAGCTCTCACACAGGCTGAGCATGCATTCTCCCACAGACATGTCCACTTTACATGTGATGTAAAGGAAAAGGCCATCATCCATTATTTCAGTTGAGTAATCTTCATGTGGTCTTCGTAATGATCGTTTTAATTTTCATTCCTCTTAGGAGTGTGGGAAAGCCCGCTTTTTTTGACATCTTCACCAGTCTTGGCTGTTTTTTCTCCTCTGACAGCAGCCATTCTGATTCTTGTCATTGATTTGTGGGTCTCCAGTACCGGGTGTCACTGGATCCTTTTTCATTTATATGTGAGTGGCATTCAGACTGAGCAGCTGCTGCCACCATCCATCTTCACACCCCTCTGCATCCCACAAACTGAAGTTTACTTGCTATAGCTCCTTCTCATGCCCTGTCCCCGGGAAACAAGCTCTGCTTTCCATCTGTATGAATTCCACTGCTCCAGGCCCCTCACATGTGCGGAATTACTGCTATTCATCTTCTCATGACTGGCTTGTTTCCTTGGCTCGGTGTCCTCCAGAGACACCCATGTTGGTTTGGCATGCTGAAAGCTCCACTACAGCTCTGCTTCTATTTATCCGTCTGTTAATGGACACTTGCTTCTCTGGCGTCTGTCTCTAGGCTGTTGTAAACAGCCCGAATGACACTGCAAAGGCGTGCAGACACTGCCTCTGTAGAACAGTGCAGTGTTCTATGGTAATTTGTCTCGGAGCTGCAGCCTCTCTACCATACTTTGTCTTTGCCATCTGTGTTCCCAGACCACAGACCCTGCCTAGTTCAGAGTGAGGCAGGGCTGTGTCCTGAAGGGACACATCTCCCAGCTGGTCCCTTTCCCTTTGCTGTACTGTTGGGTCAGTGCTGGAGAACAATGCTCAGACTGAGCACTTGCTATGCAAGATTAGCACCTGAGTTTGAACCTCCTGGACCCATGGGGAAAAGCTGGGCATGACTGGGATGTGCCTGGAATCCCAGCTTTAGGGAGAGGGAGGGGTGGAGACAGGCAGATCCTGAAAGCTCATTGGCCTAACTGAAACCCTGAGCTTCTGCTTCAGCGAGAGACTCTGTCTCAAAGCAGTATGGCAGTGATAGAGCAAGGCACTCAACGGGCTTCTCTGCCTCTGCACGCATAACCTGCCCACTCAAGTGCATGTACACCCCACCACGAACCACACACACACATACACACAACACACATAACACATACACACACATAACGCATACACACACATAACACACACACACATACACACACATAACACATACACACATACATAACACATACACACATAACACACACACATACACACACATACCACAAACACACACAACACATACACACACATAACACATACACACACATAACACATACACACACATAACGCATACACACATAACACATACACACATACATAACACACACACATACACACACATAACACACACATACATACATAACACACACATACATACATAACACACACATACACACACATAACACATACACACACATAACGCACACACACACATAACACACACACATAACATACAGATACACACACAGAACACACACATATACACACATGACACACACACATACACACACATAACACATACACACATACATAACACACACACATAACACATACACACATAACACATACACACACATAACACATACACACACATACATAACACACACACACTTGCCATAGACTGATGGCTTAACCAACATCTATTCCTTCAGCCTGGCTGGGAAGTCTGATGAAGGTTTAATAGAGGTAGTGTCAGTTGAGGACACTTATCCTGGTTACAGAAGCTGAAGAGCCAGCAGACCTCTGGGCTCATCTTCTTCTTTGAGGACATGAAGCCCACTTGGGGTGGGGCGTGTCCATTCTTACCATCTCATGTGGATCTACTTATTTCTCATGAAGTCACGTTGGTAATCGGAACTTTAATACATAAATGTGGGGACCTAGCATCCATACAGAGTGACATACTTCAAGAAGGGAAAACAGAGCTTTGGAGAGGGGAGCCCAGAGTAAGAAAGGCAGAACAACCAAGAAGAGAGAAACAAAACAAAAATGTAGATCACAAAGGAGGGAAAGGGGACAGAGTAGGACATAGTCCTGCACATGGTTGCTGTTCTTTCATGTCTTAACATCATGAAACCTATGACAGTCGTCCTTGTGAAGATAATTCCATTCAGAGGTTCCCAGTCTGACCAAGAAATAGAACATGAGTGACTTCCCTGCAATGAGATGCTTACAAGGATGGACACCATAAACACTCGAGCCTCTACTAGAAGAGGGCTTCCCCTTGGGATATTGGACAATATCTGGATTTTTTTTATTATGTAGAGAGAATCCCAGAAAATGATGGTCTGGTCCAAAACCTCCAGTGGCACTAAGGCTTAAAAGCTGCCATAATGTGTGCAAAGGATGAAACCCAGCCTGACTAGATCCACTCATCCAAAGCAGAAGAACACAGGGATGCCCAGAACAGTGGCTTCTGTCTCTGGAGTTCTCAGAGCTTCTCCCCCCTTTTAGCATTTAAAATAGATATAATAGACAGATGATAGATAGGTAGATAGATAGATCATAGATCATAGATTTATAAATAGATGACAGGTGACTGATAGTAGATTTATAGGTAGATGATAGACAGAATATAGATAATAGATTTATAGGTAGATGATAGGTGATTGATAGAGGATAAATGATAGATTTATAGATAGATGGTAGGTAGATAGATGGATGGATGATGGATGATAGTGTGTGTGTGTGTGTGTGTGTGTGTGTGTGTGTGTGTGTGTACAATCACCCACCCACATGTGGAGGTCAGGGGACAACCTTGGGTGTCCATCACTGGTTTGTGGGAGGGTCTTCGTTGTTTCCTGCTGTTCTGTGTACTCCAGGTTAGCTGGCCTTAAACTAGGAGTGTCTCCTCTCTCTGCCTCCCTTCTCACTGTAGGAGTGTGGGATCACACACATGCTGTGACACCTGCTTTTCCATGGGTTCTGGGAATCCAAACCCAGGCTATCAGGTCTGCATTGCAAGTGCTTTTATTATGAGACATCTTCCTGGACCCCGTTTAGCTTTGTATTTTGAAATAATGTTAGACTTACAAGTCAGATGTGGTGGCAAGTGCCTTTAATCCCAGCATGGGAGGTAGCAGTGGGTGACTGTGAGTTTGAGGTCAGCCTGGTCTACAGAGTGAGTTCTAGCCAGTCAGGGATACATAGTGAAATCCAGTCTATAATAATAATAATAATAGTGTAATCATTATCATCATTGGAGACTTGCAAACTGTATAGCTTTAATCTGTTAGCATTTGGCTCTTGAGAGACTCTTCCTAAATGCATGAAACAAGTAGAGAGAATGAGGAAGGGACATATGAAGACTCCTCCGTGCGATGTTCACTCTGAGGAGCAGCCGAGGACTAAAGGGAAGAGTTAACGAGAGCCATTTGGGTTATGAAGTGGCTGTGGCTCTGGTCTGGCAGATGCCTCCTCCTTATGCTACTCGATTCACTTCGGGCCTTTAGACAGAGTCAACCATAGTCAACCTGTGTGGCCAGGGCAGAGTCAACCATAGTCAACCTGTGTGGTCAGGACAGAGTCAACCATAGTCAACCTGTGTGGTCAGGACAGAGTCAACCATAGTCAACCTGTGTGGCCAGGACAGAGTCAACCATAGTCAACCTGTGTGGCCAGGACAGAGTCAACCATAGTCAACCTGTGTGGCCAGGACAGAGTCAACCATAGTCAACCTGTGTGGCCAGGACAGAGTCAACCATAGTCAACCTGTGTGGCCAGGACAGAGTCAACCATAGTCAACCTGTGTGGCCAGGGCAGAGTCAAACATAGTCAACCTGTGTGGCCAGGGCAGCCTGCTGGGCTATCATCTACTCAGTGTGAGAATACTGACTAAAACATACCATCTAGGGCCTCAGGTCTAGCTCGTGATAGCACAAGACTCACCTCAGGGTTCTATCACTAGTAACAGAGTCAAAACACAGACACCTAGAAAGGGAAGGCCTTCCATAGTTTTGGTGGTACACTGAAGGACCTCTAGAATTTTTAAACTTAACAACATGTATTAATATATTGCTAGGAATAAAAGTGAAGTTGCCGTTGCAGTTCTATAGTGTATGGTTTCTTTTCAGCTTGTGTTTGCCATGCTATGTGATGGGTGAATTTTTTAAGATGAGGGCTGTAGGGCTGTCTGCACACTCCAGACCCATGGGAGCAGCTCTGTGTCCCCCTCCCCACAGTATTGGTGGTTGAACCCAAGGCTCTACACATGCTGAGTATGCATTCTATGCGAGTATCTCCTAAGTTAAATTTCAGAAGGTATTTTGGGTGTCTTGCATGGGAATCACTATGACACACTGGATGAAGTAGATATCCAGTGCCAAGTGATAACATCATTAACCATTTTGATATAGATGCTGCAGCGATTCTAATACGGTTTGCTCAGTGGTCTTAGATTTCATCTGTGTCTTGTGTGTCCCACAGGCAAATATGTATATCAGCCTATGACCCCCGTGGAGCAGCTCCCAAGCACGGAGATCCCCACAAGGCCGAGAGAGCCCACCAACACCATTCAGATCTCAGTCTCTCTCACTGAACACTTTTTGAAATTTGCATCTGTCTTCCAGCCGCCGCTTCCCCCTGACTCACCAAGGTACTGTATGATTTCCGATCTCTTCATTGACAACTATCAGGTCAAATGCATCAATGGGAAGATGTGCTATGTGCAGAAGCAGCCGGTGCCCCATTCCCAGAAGATGAGCCCTGAGGAGGTCTCTGCACATGATGCCTTAATTTCTAAAGAGAGTGAGACTCCGAAACTGGGTCACTGCTCCTCCCCTTCCAGTTCCGAGGACTCGGGGATCAATGCAATTGGGGCTCACTATGTGGAATCCTGTGACGAGGACACAGAAGAAGGGGCAGAACTGAGTTCCGAGGAAGATTACAGCCCTGAGAGCAGCTGGGAACCCGACGAGTGCACCCTTCTCTCCCCGTCACAGTCTGACCTGGAAGTGATCGAAACCATGGAAACCACTGTGTAGTCAGCTGGGAACCACGGCCAGGATCCACCCTGAGCTTCTGGACTTTGATTTGATTCTTTTCCAATACTCTTGGCATTTTCCAAGCCCTATTACCAACAATAGCAGTCCAGGGGGGCTGCTAATTAGTGTTAAAATTACCTTGTAACCAGGACATTGTTTTTTTTTCTTTTAAATGTATCTTGCTTTCTTTGTAGCATCTGGTGTCGTAGCTGTGACCCAGCCTTAATTTCACTGAGAACTTTGAGCGTGCTGGTGACCACAGAATATCATAGGTCGCATGGAGGAGCTCCCCAGAGTGGAGGTGCCCATACTTTACCCATAGCCCATCATTTGTGGCAAAGGCTCTGCTCTTGGGTATGTCATGTGACACCTCTGTTCTGTTGGTCTCCGGTGGGGGAGCAGCTCACTTCAGCCAACATGTTCCTTCCCTTCCTCCTCCTGCCTGCCACCCATACTGGCTCAGGTCAAGAGTAGCCTTGGAGCTACTTCTAGGAGGCCCTTGGAGGTCCCCTGGGCCCCTGGTGATGGCCATGTCACAGCTTCTGTGACTGTGAGGAGAGATGGGCCTCTCCGATCTGTGTCTAGTCCAGCTTTTGTGCAGCAGGGTGGTGGGATTCGGGATGGCTCAGACCAGGTTCTCACCACAAAGGGGACACATTGAATTACAGGACACAAGCCATGGCTCATGGCACCCACGAGGCTCTTGGAAGCAGGGGAGGAAAGGTGGACTTGGCCTGGGCTAGCTGAGAAAGTTGCTACAATGTCTGAGCCGGCCCGGGTGGGTTCACAGCATCCACTGCCCTTCCTGATTAGTTTTCCAGGTCAGGGAGAAGCATTTATGTTTTGTAGGTATTATATTTAGGAGGCAGCACATCTGACATCTTAAGAAAAAAACCACAATAGTTTTAGTTAGCATGGAAATGCTAAAAGACAAGTCCTTTAGGGATTAGGAATGAATCTAATAGGTTTGGTTAATTCTGCTTCGTTTGGTTGTATGAAGCATTAGAATGGCTTAGATGAGAAATGGACTAGAATTTTGTACGATGCATGGATTTTATGCAAATGCAAAAACAGTTGAAGTAGCTCACTGCTGAGTCAGGAAGATGTTTTATGTAACACTTCTTCACTTTACTGAGCTGGAGTCCACACACATTGTGTGTGTTCTTTCACACAGCTCACTGCTGAGTCAGGAAGATGTTTTATGTAACACTTCTTCATTTTACTAAGCTGGAGTCCACACCATTGTGTGTGTTCTTCCACACACACAAAATAGTGAGTAATTCTTTCTTACGTAGATTTCTTCAAAACTCTGTTCCTAATTTGGTATATACCGGGTGTTCTCACGTGATCTTATTACCTGCTGTTTTCTTAACTCTGTGAAGCACAGTACAAATCTGGGAGCTTTAACATATGCGAGCAGAGTCACACTCCTGCAGGGAGGTGGCGGCTCAGACCCTGGCTGTCTAGGCAGGTGCCGTGGCCTCATGGCCTGATGCTGCCAGCATCTCGCAATCCCTCCTCCCTCTGATTAGTGTGAACCCAAAGGAAGGAGAGGCTCGCCATGCTCCTGAATTTGGGGTTCTTCACTACGTTCTGGAGGAAGAATCTGCTTTCCCAACTGGTTATGGAGTCCCAGTGATTAGCCACTAGAACCTTCTTCAGGCTGACAAGCCCAAAACGCCCACAGTGTTCAGAAGGCAGGATATGTGGCTTCCTTTGAAAAGCATTAGTTAAAACTTCCTGTGCTAGAGAAGGTAGCAGAAAGTCCCCACAAACCGGGAAGGAGCAGCAGGCACAGGGGAGGGCAGGAGGGAGCAACCATGACTTGGTGAGGGTCATGCTCCCGACCTGGGATGGCCTGGGACCATCTGGCAAGCCCAGCCTGAGGTTTGTGATGCCTCACTGGCATGGAAACCAAATACCATGAGCCACATCTCCCTCATCCTGCACTCGGAGCTGTGGAGGCAGCACCGGGGCCATCTTCAAACGTGTGGTGGACGATCTCCTCAGAGCCCCGGGAGAGGCAGGCACACGGCAGCCAGTGCTCCATCCCCACACCCTTCTGATACTTTCCGGTGGGCTCACTGCCATGAGAACTAAACTAACTGGAGTTGTAGCCTGGGCTCCAAGGCCATGAAAACACGTGGTCTGCGCCCCAGCTCTGGAGCTGGGCCGGGAGCTTGGCTTGGGCCCTTGATCAGTAACATCTGTGACTTTTGCCCAGGGTTCTTTTTCTTCCTCCTCCTCCTTTTTGTATTTTTTTTTTCGAGACAGGGTTTCCCTGTGTAACTTTGGAGCCTGTCCTGGAACTAGCTCTTGTAGACCACGCTGGTCTTGAACTCACAGAGATCCACCTGTCTCTGCCTCCCGAGTGCTGGGATTAAAGGCGTGCGACACCACCGCCAGGCTCAGGGTCCTTTTTTCTAAAACCCCAAACTGCCACTCAGATCTGCCACAATTGTGACAGAACTTTTGATTTTAATAACAATTGATGATCACATTAAATATTTGCATACTCTTTATAATTAAACTCTCTAAGCTGCACTTGCTGTTTTATAAAATTGGACACATTCCCCTGCATTCTTGGATCTCAAAACAGCCTTTTCTAAATGAGCACAAACAAGAGAGGTTTTTGGTTTTGTTCTCCTGATACTGTTCATACCAGTAACTGTCTAAAATCCAACTAAGTCAGAATTACTTCCCTATGCTTGCACTCTGAAATCAGCGAAAAGAGTATTAAAGATGTATAGCTCAACTTCAGTTGTAGGCCTATTCTGTTCTATAGTCTATGAAAGGATTCCTCTATAATCCTGGTATTAGAGTGCTGATTTGTATACTTGTATTCATAGGCACTTTAGAAATACTTAGATGTAATATGCCCTGTCGACAGTAAGCACTGTCGTGTCAAATAGGCTTTTGACTAACACTGTACAGAGAGAGACGGAAGCTTGCAGGCTGGACCTTTAGGGGGCGAGGCTTGGGCCATGTGGATGGGCTTCTGCGGGAAACTGGCACTGTTGCTACTTTTTTGAAAGGTCGTTAGGTATACTAACATACTCCCACTAAATGTGGAATATAGTTTTCTTACCTAACCAAGATTTTAAGTTTCAGGTGTGTCCGTAACAAAGCAACTAAAGTTCTTTTAGGGATAACTATTTGATATCTTTAAAAAAAATAAGGCTTTACTTTAAAATCTGCGTATTTTTTACCTTGTAACATTTAAGGTATAAACTGAGAATCTGAGGGCAACCCTGAAGAGAAGCAGTTGCTTTCCTGGGAGACACACCTCAAGGCGACACAGTACTGAACAGAGTAAAGCCAAGTCTGTGTCCCAGCCCAACACAATGAAATACAATACAGAACAGACTGAAACTGGAGTCACCGTTCCCAACACCACACCACACCACACAACATAGCATAACACTACACGGAATAGAATAAAACTAGAGTCACCGTTCACAACACACAGCACAACACAGCATAATACTACATGGAATAGACTAAAACTGGAGCCACAGTGTCCCAACACAGCACAACACAATGTAATACAGTACAGAGCCAGTGTCCCAACAGGCCACAATACAATATAATACAAGACAACATACAATGCAGTGCAACACAATGTAAAACCTGAGCCATGGTGGTTTTCTGACAACTCCTTGGGATCTGATGTCTCTTGGGAATACTTTCACTTCTTAACTCCCGGCTTGTCTATTTGAATTATGTTCTTCTGGGGTGGATCAGAATAAATGCTTCTTATGCAAATTTGGTTGCAACCAGAGACTTTAGGAAGTCAGAATAACCATATGAGCCTGCAGTGTAGATACTGCCACATAAGAAAAAGCACACGTTTAATACTGCTCATGTCATCTGCTCCTGATTGTCCCCGAGCCCTATTTGCACAATTCTATTGTCATGTTTTAGCTTTTTACTTGAGGAAAACTTTTCTCTTTCCTTCCCCTTTGTCGAGCGGTGCTGAGAGTCTGAACAGTGGACTGTGGGGCTTCGTGGGGAGTATGTCACTGCGCTCCCCATGGAGGGGCAGGTGGGAGATGAGGGGGGCGCTACTCACCTTTTCTGTACCACACAGCCCTGAACGACATCGTAAACCTCAGTATAAACACAAGGACATTTCCAAAATGAAATTGTTTCCAAATCTGACCTTGTCGGGACTATGGCGGCTGAGCATGGGTGTGCGCGGGTGTGTGCACGGGTGCGGTCCGTGGAGGAGCTGCGTGCTGCCCAGGGTGAAGTGGCTGGAGGCCTGTCTGGGGTTTGAATGGCGCTCCAGGCCACTGTATTTGCACATGTGTTGAGGCTGTCCATACCTTGCAGTAGTCATGTGCTGTGCTGGGCTCTTTTGAACCTGTTTTAAAGTTTAAGCACAATGTTGACCCTTCTGTAATTTCCTAAAATTATATTCTGTTTTCCTAAGACTGCTCAACTTTAGGAAAATACTGCTGTACAATAAATGTGGTTTTCTTTTGTACTAGAACAAATCTGCGGTTGGAATTTTTGTATCAGGTGTTTACAGTGTGCTAGGCAATAAGCAATCCATACCCCTTACGCATTTAAACTTTTGGAAACTTGATGAAATGCAGGTAAGTATCGAGCACACGCTTGCCGCTGCTGTTAATTCACGGAACTCCTTGTAAAAACGTTTGTGTTGATTCCATCAGGTTTCTATGGAATGAGAATTATATCACCCCATGAATAACATTGATTTCACACTGAGTTAGGCCCTTGTCCCAGCTCATGAGTGCCATGTAAGAGAGCTAACAGCTACAGGCTGAGTAGTGAGGGAGGCTGCTACCCCATGGGGTCTTGGGTTTACTTGATCATTAAGGCCCAGCATCAAGGCTCAGTATGACAAGTCCAGAAACTCCACTTGATTCGGCATGCCAGCTTCTGGGGTTCACTGGGTGGGACAGCCTCCCTATAAAGACTGCTGTAAAACACACCAATGATAGTGCGCTCACCGACTGCCCAATGCTGCCTTACCATTTTCCATGTGGTCTTCATGACATCCCATGTCACATACAAGGGCAGCTCAGAAAGTGCTGCAGTGGCACCATTCATTAGTCAGAATGGGCCCTGAACCCAGAACACAGGCCCAGGAGTCCACACTCATGCCCCTTTGCCTACTCCATTGTCTGCAGCCTGGTGAATGCGGCCTGAGTCTGCAGCTCACCACACAGTACCACAGACAGTGCTGGAACGAGGCTGTGCTCCAGCCTCGCCTTTCTGGGAACCAGATCGCCAGCCAGTGTATGTGTGCACACGTGCTGTGTTTCCTATGAGGTCAACATTCAGATTGGTCCATCGCGCCTTCCATTTCAGTCACGTCTTGGCCTGTACTCTTGGCTGGCTCTGATACCGAAAGGGCCAACTTGTCTTCTTAAGGGATTCCTGCTGACAGCGGATCTCATCTGCATTGCGGTTTACTGATTTCAGTCTATATAATTGTACTGCACGTTCTGGAAGGCGGCTTCTTGTTTGTAGTCTTACAAGTGCTGACGGCCAACACTGTTCTACAGTTCCCCGGGCTAGCATCTTGTCAACTCTCCGTGACCACCTCAGGACTGAATGCAGAGGTAAAGGTGGCACCTGCCTCTTGGCGGTTGAGTTTGAGGAGAGAGGGTCAGGTGGAGGTCCTTTGAACCAGGGAGACATGACGGGAATGCATGTTAGAAGTAAAAACGGGTGGGCTGCAGAGGTGGCTCAGTGGTTAAGAGCACTGGCTGCTCTTCCAGAGGACCTGAGTTCAATTCCCAGCACCCACACAGCTTACAATTGCCTATAACTCCAGTTTCAGGGGATTCAACACCTTTGCACAAACATACATGCACACAAAACATGAGTGCACGTGAAATAAAGATAAATTAGATAAATTAAGTAATACATATAAAGAATGGGTGAAGATGCTGAGATACTCAGGTGGTTTTTGTTGCCTCTTGGAGTTTTCTAGAATGAACCTATATTTCCATGGGGAAAACCCATTTCGTTTGAAAGTGGAAGTTCTGTTGAGCACAGGCAGTCAGCACCTCACTTCACAGGTCTGTGGTGGAAATGGGGTGTCCAGGCAATGTGCATCTGTTGAGACCGTCGCTGGGAGCCTGGGACAACTGGTGTCTGCTGAAGAACAAGGTGCTCCCACCATGGCTGGGTGCTTGTGTACCTGGGGAGGGCTTCCTGTGTTCCTGAAATCTGGAGACAGGGATTAGAGGGCTTGGGCTTTGGGGGACCTCTGAGTCTGGTTCCCTGTAAGATGACAACAAGCGCCAGCGTTGTTGACTCGTGGAGCTCTGCAGGTTGTAGGCACCGAGGTCACGAGCATCTCCCCACACAGGAGCTTCTTCACTGTCCCTGACAACTATGAGTGGGTATGCGTGTGTGTGTGTGTGTGTGTGTGTGTACGCATGTCTGTGGTGCGTGTGTGTGTGCATGTCTGTGGTGTGTGTGTGCATGTCTATGGTGTGTGTGTGTGCATGCCTGTGGTGCATGTCTGTGGTGTGTGTGTGTGAGTGTGCATGTCTGTGGTGCGTGCGTGTGCGTGTGTGCGTGTGTGTGTGTGTGTGCTGGCTGAAGCAATGAAGACTTCATTCAGATGTGAAGTTCACAAGGCAGGGAAACAGTAGGATCAGAGTCCCCGATTCTCAGTGCAGCCTGCACTGCTCTCCTGCCAGCAAACACCAACCATACAGTTTCCTACTCCACACCAAGTCCAGCCCATGGCTGCTGTGGCTGCACCTTGCGTTGCCCAAGAGACCGGGCCTGGTTGAGTGTGGGTATTGCAGGGCTCAGCCTCCAATGTTGTTCAAGCCAGCGTACTCTAGTTTCCTGCCAGGCTGGTTTGACCTGAGCCTTGTCTCAAGGCTTGGGTTCTGTCTTCTTTTGGGTGTGGCATATGATCTAAAGTGTTCCTCTGAAGACCTGGGCTTCATGGGTCGCATATGATCTAAGTGCTCCTCTGAAGACCTGGGCTTCATGGGTCGTATATGATCTAAGTGCTCCTCTGGGGGCCTGGACTTCATGGGTGAGGCATGTGATCTAAGTGCTCCTCTGGGGACCTGGGCTTCAGTCTTAGTGCTTTGGCGATGAGCTGCCGCCATCCACCCCTTCTGCCCTTCCTGGGGCATCACCTCTAGCTGCTTCCCGCGGCTTACTCTCCAGTGTTGTCATACTTCACTCAGGGTCAGGGCGCCCCAGGGCATGCTCACCTGCTCTGAGAACTTGCTTGAGTTTGGCCCTGCGCAGAAGAGCCGGGTTTCTACCCTCAGCTTAGAATCTGCCTGTGTAGACCGTGCTGCCAATGCTTATAAAGCACGTGTCCATGCCCATATTCATCTGCAGGCCCTGGAAAAGCCTCTGCAGCCTTGTGAGTGAGCGCCGGTGATACAGTGCACAGCTACAGGAGTAGGCTGTTTTGGTTCGTGGTTTCAGACATTCCAGTCAGGGTCAGATGGCTGTACTGAGGCAGAGAAAGTGGAAGGGGGGGCTTGAGTAGAGCGTGATGGCAGAAGGGGGTTGCAGAGGGGTGGCTGCCTCATGGCAGCCAGGAGGCAGTCACAGGAAGGACCAGGAACATGACCTGTCTTTCCAGGGTGTGCCCCACCTCCTAATAACGCCATCCTATGGAGGGAAGAGATCGGAGTCCTCAGGATGCAGTCACCCGCTAGTCACTACCCCTGAACATTGCTGCATCAGAAACCAAACTGTCGACACGTGGGCTTTGGAGGCTGGTTCATAGGACGCTAACGGTATCAGCAAGGCTGCTACTCTAAGAGGCTGGTCAGAGCGGAGCCCTTGGACAGATAAGGCCACATGGCATCCAGATGGCTTCAGCAAGGCCTGCCAGCCTGCGTATCTGTTGTACCTGTGAATCTAGAATCAGATGAGCCCAGCACACTTAGGAGGCTGCATTGAGTAGACGGAGAAGACACCAACATTCTAGGCTTCCCAGGGAACTTCAGCCCTTAGGTCAACCTGCAGGCAGCAGTGGGTGTCAGTTGACAGTCACTCCAAGGTCACAAGAGGTCAGCTGTCCCCAGCTAGGATTAATTCAACCCCACAGTTTGGTCTCTCTCCATAATCAACATGTCCAAGGGTCACCAGAGGCCATGATGCTGAATATGTCCTCCTCCCCTCTCCCCGTCATCTATGTGGCCCCCAGTGTGCCTCAGCCCTGGAGGGTCAGCAGTGGCAAATATGGCAGGGGGATGTGGTGGTAGATGGAATCTGCCACCTTGGGTGAAGGTGAAGTAGGGCATGGGAGTGTTGAATGATGACCCAAGTCATTCTTCTCGAGGAAGAGGCCAGACTGGGCAAGCTAAGGTCCCTGAGGTTTCTGAGGGCTGAGAGGTGGCCTCTCAACCTCTTAGAACCAATTCATAACTTTTTTGTTCTGAGGGAGCAGACGCGCGAAGGGCATGCCTGGCTTCTCAGATAGGGAAAAGTGCTCTAGTGTGAAGCTACTGTCACCACCACCCCTCGGTCCCAGCTGTGCCCAGTCCCAACCAGAAGCTTTACAGGGAGTCCTGTCAGTCAGGGTCAGGGATGAAGGACAGGCAGCCGATGACACAGCCTTGCTCTTAGAGGTACACCCAGGAAAGGCGTTTGGGGTAGGTGGTGTATGGACTATTTCTATTGGCCCATGCTTCTGAACCTAACCTCCTAACCTACCCTTGGCATCGTGAAATCATCCCCAAGTTCATAACTAATAGAAATAAATGCACATGTTCACAAAAGTCAGGCACAAGAATGGTAATAGGTTAGCACCTATTGCCCTAGAGGCCCCTCTACATGGAAGGAATTTGTTTAGTCACAGTGGAATGCTGTTCAGGAGTCGGAGTGTTTGACATGGGCGCTACACACACACACACACACACACACACACACACACACACACACAGAGGCACGCGAACCTGTGAACAATCACACTGTGCATGCTATCAGAAGTCAGGATACTTATTGGCCTGGGGTGGACAATCTGCCATGCAGGTCATCTCTATGTGGTTGCCCTGATATGTTCGGGGGAAGAAGGTGACTTTAGGAAACAGTAGTGACACCTGTTTGAGGCAGAGCCTGGCACATGCTTGGCACTCAGAATCTAACTGTGCCAACAGAACAAACAGCACACACCCTCTTGCCCTGAGCAGAGGTAGAGGCAGGAGGACTAACAAGCCTCATAAACAGCCACCATGGGGAGTGCTCCCTGGAACACAGACCAGGGGAGAACCAAATGCTATCTTCCTGGTGTGTGTGTGTGTGTGTGTCTGTCTGTCTGAGAAGGGCTTCATAGAGGATGGGTGCCCTGGGGAGGAGGGGACATGCACTTCCATACTGGGGCAGCCCCAGGAGCCATCCATGCTCTGGCCTTCCCTGGAGTGGCCCTGACCTACCCAGAAGGCCACGCTGCAGGAGGCCTTGCTTGTGCTCTGGGCACAGCTGCAGCTTTGGGAACAGTTTTCCCATAGACAGTGCTGAATGGAGACA